TATATATATATATATATGTCAACACGACTCGCCCTGTTGGACCTTTTCCGCTCTGACCGCCTCATTTTGGGGCATTGCAGGTGAGGAGCGTCACATCCTTCCTAGTCGCGTGGTTCCGGCGTCTGCACCCTGCCACAATTGTAGAATGAGCTAGGGCTGTGCCATTTCTACCAATGTTGCCATGATAGGGGTGAACGAAGATTGCAGCCAAAGTGATGATGGCGGTTGTGATGATGAGGGTTAGTACGGGGATGAGGATGACCACACGGATACATTGATGCCAAGGATTTTCATGGTTCATGTTACATGCTATTCTTCATATCCTCCCGTGGAGTTTTTAGTTTAGTAGTTCCACAGTCGCTCAGCTTCTGACGAGTCTCTGCAGGAAGACGAGACCTCTGGAAGACAGCACGTGAAATGCGTGATTAGACCCTACTTGTTGAGGCTCCCCGGCAGTGCGCCGTTTCGGTGGGTCCGCTCGAGGCCTTGTTTTTGAAGAAGTCATGGTGGATGGTTTCGGAATAATGAATGGTTTTAGACTTGGGGCATGTTCTTTTGTGGAGACTACCCCGTCAGCTTCAGAGGAAGCCTCAAACCTTCAATCGACGACCCTTCCCCCTGAGCTTCAAGTTAAGAGGCCGAGGATCCCGCAGCTGCTCCGCTGCTGATGCCGCCCGACCTTACTGGGGAAAAGTACTAGGCAGGCATCTATATGCCTATCTACCAATCCCTGTATGTACATGCATGTAATTCATGCTTCTCCCTCTGTCCTTCAAAAAAGGCTGTAAATGCAGACATTCATAATCAGTATTCGAGTAGGAACAAGCAGGTCAACAACTCAGTAGAGGTAAGTCTCTAAGCAGTGCACACATTGTATATGTATGCATGCCCGTCCATCCATGTCCGTCGTCGGTCCGTCCGTATTTCCGTATGTAGCTGTGTATGTGCCACCAGCAGCTATGCATGAAGACACATGTTCCTGCGGCTTAGTTTTGGGATTATGGTTTGATGCCTGCAGGGGGAAGTGATCAGTCATTGACCTGCATTTGCGGGTGAGCATCGTGGGATGTTCTCGCGGCATGGCTTTGCATCAGAGTCTGGAGACGCAAGCAATGCTTCGTGAGCCTGGTAGGGTGAGGTCAAGCAGCCAACGGTAGCCATGTTTGAACCGACAACTTTGAGGAAACGGCAGCGCGCCACAACAGACTCAGGAGCTTGCCCATGAGCTCGTGCCCTTCAAGTCCAGGTGATCAGCACCCGAAGCCTTGGGAAAACGTTTCCCTTAAGTCCTACAGCCTTCACTCGCCGCCTGTTGGTTCTCCATGCCCCCGGGCTCAGGCTCCTCGCAGCTCTATCCCGTCGGGGCCTGGCAGTGGAGGGTCGTGACTTTGCCTGGGAGGCGCGGTTCGGAGTTCGGCATTGGCCCGCTGACTGGAGAACATGAGAGAGGCAGCAGGCTTTTTGCTGGGCCTACCCGTAAGCCTGTATTGGGAATGGACTTCTTCCTCCATCCTCCGGAGGAACATTCATGACTCACGTCTATCCTTTGCGAACTCGAAACCCATGGCTGACATTCTCGTCCTTGCTAGGCACCTGGCCAGGAACATCCTGCAGCGCGGCTGCAGCTCAGATCCCCGACCCCAGGCTTGTAATTCGTGCGGGTTGGGGGTGAAACACGTTCCGAAGAATCTTGACCCTCAGGTGTGGAGTGTATGTGTTCGAACACAAGACCTTGCAGTGGAACATCCCAGCCTTCCGCAGCAGTGTGAGGCAATTGTCGCGGCAAAGATCTTTCTCGTCAGAATCTTTCGAAAATGCTGCAAACACACACCTGCCGGAAGCATGCTAGCATGTCACAACCAGAAATCATCGTGAAGATGCCTAGGCTTTAGCTTCGCGACTTGCTGAGCTGGGCTACAGAGTCTCGGACTGGACGAGAATTTGGAAAGCGACTCGGGTGTGTTCAGAGTCTCAGAGAAGTTCGGTTTGGATTTGGTGTTAGTGAAGAAGCGGTTCCGTTTTGCGGTGGTGGTGGTCATCAGAATAGCGGCGGTCATCGTCGTTATCGTCATCACCACGAACAGCGTCATCATCACCGTCGTCATTACAGTCGTCACCATCATCACCATCATCACCATCGTCATCTCCGTCACCATCATCACCAACATCACCATCATCTTTCTCCTCATCGTCCTCAGCATCCTCCTCCTCCTCCTCGTCCTCCTCCTCATCGTCATCGTCTTCATCATCATCGTCATCATCATCAGCATCAGTTTCATAAGTTCACAAGCAGCATCATCAACTTCGTCGCCACCGTTACCATCATTGCCATCTGTCGCCATGGTCACCATGACCAGCATCATCGCCATCACCTTTGTCACAATGAACACTATAATGATGGTGAGCATCATCACCATCACCATCACGGTCTTCGTCGTCATGGTCATCGCAGTTGTCACTGCAATCATCGTGCTCTCCATGAGTCATCCTCCCCATCATCGCCACCAGCAGCAGCAAAGCCTTCTGTAGCCACATTCGCAAGTCGCACAGATTTCCTGTGAAACTTCGGCAAGTTGCGACACCCGAACCTACTTTATGGAAATCCCAGCCGAATCTCTCCTTCTTGACCTGCCATCTCCAGGATGTGAAGGAGAGAGTTGTAGTCACACCATAGCCGCCGCAAAGTGTAGCTGCTCGTTGGACACCCTTGCTGCTGATGATCATGTGCAAGCTGGCGCGATCGGAGTCCAGGGCCTGAAACCACGTGTGCAGGCAGCGTGGACGAATATCGGTCGGTGCGGCAAAGCAACTGGTCTCGGATTTGCTGCTGTTGGAGCATCCTGGGGTGCAGAGTGTAGTTTCGGAGTTCCCCATGTGAGGGTCTTGCGGATGGCGACTACACACGTTACAGCAGTTATGCGTACAGACAGCAGGCGGCAAGAACGACATATCGACGACAGCCACACGAATCTCAAGAGCATCACGAACATCAAGGCCAATAAGACTGACCAGACCAGATGGCAGCAGCAACAAGAACGACACGAGCAGCAACAGCATTGCTACAGCCACTGCTACGGTGTTGCCGCTGGTACTTGCACTGGAGTGGGTAGCAATCACTACTTTAATTACGTCAATTACTTGTGCTGGCGCTAGTCCTCAGCTTCTGTTGCTACTACTGCT